CAAGCGCCCAAACAATAATTTATTCTTTCTTTTTTATTTCCTAAAAAAAAAAAAAAAAAAGTACCAGGTACAATTTTTTTCCTGTTTTTGTTTTGTTTTTCAAATCTCAGCAAATGCTTGTTTCCCTCAGCCCAGTCCCAGGAGTCAGGGCTAAGGTTGGGTCAGAGTCTGGAGCGGGGAATAGGGTAGTTGGGAACCACATGACTGGTCAGAGTCTGGCCAGGTGAGAGAAGGCACTCTGGTCCTTGGCCCTGACTCTGCCCCCTGGACACCTTCCTCAGTCAGGACCCCAAAGCAAGGAGACACAGGCAGGAGGAGAGGGACAACTGGAGTCTGGAGCCCTAGATGGGGGGTGGCTGACCCCTGTGTGCGTATGCATACACGCACACGTTCTCTCTCTCACACACACATCACACAAACACAAGCTTGTGCACCTCACATACATACAAGTTGGCTTTCAGAGTTGGGTCAGAAGAAAGGGGAAATGAAGGGACTAGGGAAGGACAGGGGAAACAGTGACTCAGTCCCACTGGAATAACTCCTCTGCCCTCAGGCAAGAGAGAGCAGTTCTCCTTCCACCCCCCATAAGCCTCTTCAACTCCTGAGGTTACAGCAATATCTGAGAGTGGGAAAGGAAGGGTGATGCCAGTGGTCAGGCTTGGGAGGTTTGGGAGGTTACCAAGGCAATCCAATTTGAATACATCATAAATTAAAAATAAATAAAATAATAAGTGGCCCCTGCCCAGGACAGGGAGGCAACGCTGGCATGACTTACCCGGGAACGTGGGACAAGCTCAGGGTAGAAGAGCTGTGTCTTATGTGCCATTAAGTTTATGACATATTCACGGTTCTTTGTCCCAATAGCATGACTGTGTGGTAGGTATGTGGCTCCCTCCTTCCTTTAACAAACAAGGAAGTTAAAGCTCGTGGGGAGTGAGAACTTGCCCTCTTTAGGGGCCAGTATGAATCTGAGGTCTTTCTCTAGAATCCTGAACCAAGGAGCACTGACCCACCAGCCTATGGCTAAAAAACACCACAAAAGGCAAGTAGAAGAGAAAGGATTTGGTGAAGGCAAAAAACAAACAAAAATCCCAAAAGTTTAGGCTATGACTTTGTTTTTGAACATTGTTTTCATTTTTTTAAAATAGTAATGAATGCAGATGTTAAACATTTTCAAACAGTACAGGAAAATCAAAAACAGAAAATAAATCTTCCTCTGGTAACTCTTTTAAAAAATAACAAACCATTTTTACATCCAGAAAAATATTATGATTTCAATAATTAACATATACTTTAACAAATGACAACAAATTAGATCATACTACATGCACCATGGTACCTTCCCCACTTAGTCATGTAGCTTGGAGAGCTTTCCCTCTTGGTACATACACATCTACTGTGTCCACTTTCGTGGCTGCCTACCATTCTACTGCACCAAAATCTCACTGTTCAATCAGCCCTGTACCTGACACACACTTAGATTGTTTCCTGTGTTTTACCATATAAATAATAGTGCCACTGGATTATTTTACTCACACATACTGGCATCCTTTTTCAAGTCTGTAGGTAATGTTAAAAGTTAAACAGGAAGCCGGGCTCGGTAGCTCAGCCTGTAATCCCTCGCCTTTGGGAGGCTGAGGTGAGTGGATTGCCTGAGCACGTGGGTTTGAGACCCGCCTGGGCAACTTGGCGAGATCTCATCTCTACAATAAATCAAAAAATTAGCCGGGCACGGTAGCGCGTACCTGTAATTCCAGCTACTTGGAAGGCTGAGGCGGAAGGATCACCGGAGCCCAGAAAGTCAAGGCTGCGGTGGCTGCTCCACTCCAGTCTGGGCGACAGAGTGAGACTCCAACTCAAAAAAAAAAAAAAAGCTAAACAGCAGAAATGCTTGGTCAGATGTTATAAGTATTTCTAAATTGATCTTGTACATCAACCATGTGTGGTGTGCCAGCCCCTGACACCTCTAATAACACTAGAAGTGATCGGCTGTTTTAATTTTTGCTAATCTGTTAAGGGAAATTGTATACCTAATTATTGCTTTGATTTATATCTCTTGATCTATAAATGAAGCTTAGCATCTTTCTACTGGCTATCTGTATTTCTTTTTTATGCGAGATATAGTTTCCTATATTTTTCTATTTCTTAATGATTTCTATAAACTCTGTAAATAAGCTCTTTGTTACATGCACTGCAAATAATTTCTTTCTGCAAAGCAGTTTTTATACTTATGTGATTGCACTTTTCATATTTTACTTTATGGCTTCTGTGTTTGTTCCTACTTAGAAACTTCTAAGGCCAAGACTAAAAATTAATTCTGTTATTTTCTCTTTGTTCTTTCACAGTTTCAATTTTTAATACTTAAAGCTTTAATCCACTCAGAATTTATTTTGATGATAGGAATGAGTTATGGATTCAGCTTAATTTTCTCTAAAAGACTTAGTCAGTCATTATTTTTTAGTGAATTATCCACCCTGATATTAAAAAGCCACTTTTACCTTACACTGCATCCTCCAGTGTATTCTGTACTTTCTTTTTTTTTTGTTGTTTTTTTTGAGTTGGAGTCTCACTCTGTTACCCAGACTGGAGTGCAGTGGCTGCTCCTGGCACCACAGCCTCGACCTGCTGGGCTCTGGCGATCCTTCCGCCTCAGCCTTCCAAGTAGCTGGAACTACAGGCGCGCGCTATCATGCCTGGCTAATTTTTTGATTCATTGTAGAGGTGAGGTCTCGCCAAGTTGCCCAGGCGGGTCTTGAACCCGCGGGCTCAGGCAATCCACTCACCTCAGCCTCCCAAAGCACGGGATTACAGGCTGAGCAACTGAGCCCGGCTTGTGCTTTCTTTACTACTGCACTGAGCTGCCTATTTCTTATCCAGTTTCAAGATGCTTAAGGTTATCCTCTGATTACTCTTTTCAGAATTTTCCTGGTTATTCTAGAATACTCATTCTGTGGGATCATCTTTCTCAACAGCAGTACCATTGACATTTTGGGCGGGATCCTTCTCTGCTTTGGGAGCTGTCCTGTGCGTCCTAGGATGCTCAGCAGCAGTTCTGGCTCCTACCCACTAGATGGCAGTAGCAGCTTCCAGTCGTGACTACCAAAACCTTAAGACATTGCCAAGTGTTCCCTGGGTTGAAGCAGAAGGGGCCAAATCGCCCCCCACTGAGTACAATTGTTTTAGATAAACTCCGGTATCATTTTACCTATGTTTCCTATTCCAAGATTTCCATTGGTATATTAAGATGAAAATGAATTAATAGAATTTAAACATCTTTATTATATTGAATGTTATACTATACTACATTTAATCTTTATTATATTTAATCTTCCTATCCAAGAACTATGTTATCTCTCCACTTATTTACATCTTTCATGAAGAACAAGTAAGAAGGACATAAGACTTGCCCTTCAGACTGAGCATGGTGGCTAACGCCTGTAATCCCAGCACTTTGGGAGGCCAAGAAGAAATGCTTGAGCCCACGAGTTTGAGAACAGCCTGGCAACATAGTGAGACCTCATATCTACAAAAAAATTTTTTTTAAATAGCTGGGCAGGGTGTGCATCTGCAGTCCCAGCTACTCGGGAGGCTGATGCGGGACGACTGCTTGAGCCCAGGAGTTTGAAGCTGTGGTAGGCCATGATTATGCCACTGCACTCTAGCCTGGGGAACAGTGAGACCCTGATACAAAAAAAAAGACATGTCCTTTAAAAAAGCTTTAAGATTATAAATTTATTATTATTAGTAGTAGTATTATTTAGGCAGAGTCTTACTCTGTCGCCCAGGCTGGAATGCAGTGATACAATCATGGCTCACTGCAGTCTCTACCTTCTGAGCTCAAGTGATCCTCCTACCTCAGTCTTTCTAGTAGCTGGGACTATAGGTGTCCTCCACCACACCTGGCTAATTTTTAAAATTTTTTTGTAGAGACAAGATCTTGCTATGTTGCCCGGGCTGGTCTTGAACTCCTAGGCTCAAGCAATCCTCCTAACTCGGCCTCCCAAAGTGATGGGATTACAGGCATAAGCCACCATGATTGGCCAGGAATGTGATGTTTTGTGCAAAAATCATACGTATACTACCCTTCAACACTTACTATAAATCAAAAACAATGTATTTCAGTTGTTTTCCCATCTTAGACAATTTGGAAAAGACACTGAGATCTGCATTATAAGAGTGAGACCATGGGAAACTTAGATCTCTTATCTATATGCTCAAAGAGAAAAGTAAATAAATTCCTTGATATTTCATGCTTCACATGTTCTTAACTCAAATATAATGGTTAAAACACTCTTTTCTGATTCTCAGAGACAATCAACATTGAGAGTGTTCACAGGCTCCAGTTGCGACTGCTGTCTAAGCAACTCTGAGCTGCCTTTCACTGCAGCTGAGGCAAGTGAGAATCTTCCCAGTTTTCCATAGGACTCAGAACACACATTAGACACTCATCTCTGCAAGGGATCCACAAGGTTCATTCATTCATCTAATGCATTTTGCTCCAAGATGACTCCAGAATATTTGCCACCTTGCCTGGATCTCAAAAGGATTTCACACACATATGGTGACGAACGGACCACTGGAGGACAGAGGAAGCCACAGCACTCCTTGTTACCTTTTTGTTTCTCATTGGTCTCTCACTAGATGTAAATTCCCTCTGGGCAGGGCCACTATTTACCTAAAGCAATTCCTGGCACAAGGTAAATGCTCAATAAATATCTGACAAGAAAAGGAATTAATGAATCGTTGAATGCTTTCCTGTGGCCAAGATGAATGGCCTGCCTAGGTCCTTCCTGCCCAGATCCCTCCTACCTGGGTCCCACTTGGGTGTCTCTTGCCTGGGTCCTTCCTGCCCGGGCCCCACCCACCTGGGTCCCATCTGTCCAGGTCCCTCCTATCCAGGTTCCTCCTGCCTGGGTCCCTCCTGGCTGGGTCCCATCTATCCAGATCCCTCCTAACCAGGTTCCTCCTGCCTGGGTCCTTCCTTCCCAGGACCCTCCTACCTGCACTGCTCCTCAGGCGGCTCTCTGCAAGTTCAGAAATGGCTCCGGATGTCGCAGTCTTCTTTAGTCGCACCACCCCTGATGTGGTGGTATTTCCTGGTTTGTTGAGCATGTCCTCACTGCTGGCCCTCTTGAGCTAAGCGAGAGATTGGAAGGAAAGAGAAAGGATGAAGAGATAGGCTTTGGGTAGGGAGCTCTGTAAACCAACACAGCATCTGAGCAGAACTATGTGCCCTGCCGTCAAGATACAATAATGGTCTTTGAGTAGCACTACTGGGTGAAGTGAAAAAAAAAAAAACAACAACAACACAAAGCTAGACAAACCTGTATCTGTCATTCATAGGTTAGAGTATGATTTCCCATTACTGTTTCAAAGACCAGTATAAGATTATGGGTGAAGAGTACCCATCAGGTCACACTTCAAGTAATGAGCTTAAAAAAAAATCTACTTTCTTGGTGGGGAAAAACAAAAAAATAAAGAATAGGAGCCAATGAAAAAAGAACTGGGAGATATACAAAAGGCAGAATAGGGCAATGCACAAGAAATTCAAGGACAACAACATGGAAAAAGGCTTCATGACATATGACAGGAGGAAATCGAGAAAGAGAAACAATCTCAGTATCTGCTGTGTGCACACCACCAGACACTCTGTAGATTATCTCATGCAGAAAACATGTTCGAAGGTAAGAAAGAAACTTTTCTGGAGGCCAGAAGAACAGTTAATGGATGACAGAAAGAAAGGTGAACCCGCCACTCTTTTTTTGCTTTCTTCTCTGTCACGAAAGTGGTAGGACAAACATTTATCGAAAAATACTGAAGTCTAAGAAGGGAAACCCCTAAGTGAGCTCACACTTCAGGTCCAGATAAAGGACATTCAAGGTTCATGAGAAAATCCACAAACACATTATCTCAACCACTGTTAAGTCTTCTTTAAGGAATACTACTGAAGTGGAACAGTCCAGAGACAGGCAGATGCCCAGAATTATCTCTAAGATGTCTGACATCTGGAGCAAACAGTATGGAAAAGTCCTCAAATCAATGGAGACATGAGTGGGCAGCCACTACCTGCCACGTTGGCCAAGGGCAAAAGGCCCTGCTCCATCCTGTTCCATTGGGTATGGGGTCATTTACTGAAGGGTGGAAATCTAAATATTTACATAAGTTAAAAAAAAATTTCTACTTTTCCAACATTTCAATTTCAGGGTATAACAATCCTCTCCTCCAATGGCTTGAAAGTGAAAAATGCCAGAATATCAAGTGTTGGTGAGACTGTGGAGGAACTGGAATGCTCACACCCTGCTGATGGGAGTGTAAACTGGTACAACTGCTTTGGAAATAGGCAGTATCCACTAAAGCTAAATATTCACACCCTATGAGTCAGTAATCCCACTCCTAGAGCTGCACCCAAGAAAAGTGAGCACGTAGATTCATCAAAAGACTATTCATAGCATCTTTATTTATAACAGCCCCAAAACAGAACAACCCAGATGCCCTTTGACAGAAAGGATAAGTTAAATGGTGGTATAGGGTACCATGGAAACTATACAGAAATTGGGGGGCGGGGGGAAGAATTATGGATACAGTAATAAATGGATGGCTCTCATAGGCATTATGTTAAGTGAAATAAACCAGACACAAAAGAGCATACACTGCCTGATTCCATTTACCAAGTTTAAGAATTGCAAAACAAATGATGGTGATACAAATCAGAATAGTGGCTACCTCTGGGCCAGTTATGGTTGGGAAGGAACCTTCCAGAGTCCTGTAGTGTTCTACATTTTGACCGAATGGTGATTACACAGGTACAGACATATGTAAAAATTCAATGAGTTGTATAACTAAAATTAAGATTAGTGTACTTTACATATAGTACTGTAAGTATGTTATGCTTTACTAAAATAGAAAAAAAAAATTGGGGTGAGGGAATGTTGCAATTTGGGCAAAACCCTAGTCCCACTCCTGGAAATTCTAGCTTATTTGTCTTTTCTTTTGTGGGGGGAGGGTTACTTAAAAGTCTTTTTATTGTGTTAAAATAGGCATGACATAAAATTCACCATTTTAACCATTACCACCATCCATTTCCAGAAATTTTTCATCATTCCAAACTGAAACTGTACTTGTTAAACAGTAACTTACCATTGCCTTTTAAAAAGAGGAATGGGCTGGGCTCAGTGGCTCAGCCTGTAATCCCAGCACTTTGGGAGGCTGAGGCAGGTAGATTGTATGAACCCGTGGGTTCAAGACCAGCCCAGGCAACTTGACGAAAACTCATCTCTACATTAAAAAAAAAAAAAAAAAAAAGCCGGGCATGGTACCACACCTGTAGTTCCCACTACTTGGAAGGCTGAGGTGGAAGGATCGCCGAAGCCCAGCAGGTTGACGCTGGGGTGGCCATGAGTGTGCCACTGCCCTCCAGCCTGGGAAAGTGAGACTCCAACTCAAGAAAAAAAAAAGAGGAAAGACGGTAGAGGTCTTATTATTAACCATGCAATCCTGGTCAAGATTTTAAAACAAATTATTAATTTTAAAAACAAATAATTAATACTAAAAGGATGCTTGTGGGCACTTCCAGTTATCAGATGTCAATGTGACCACATTTTCTGGACAGCAGCATAGTTTCCTAGTTTAGCAATTGGACCAAATATGACCTTTGGCTTGATGCTGAAGATGCATTGCTGCTCTTTTTATGGGGACTCCACAGTGGTCTTTCCATCTCCCATCTGAGGGCAAAAACCCTTTGCTCAAGCTCTCCAACCTCTCAAAGCATCCAAGAGATCACCAGGATAGTACATGCTTAATCTTAAGTGACCACAGTCTGTAATGCCAGCAGCTTTTTCTCAACAGAGAAAAACTATTAACTCACTCTGCTGAGAAGCATACCCAGGTGCCTCCCTGATCTCCAAAGGAAAATCAGTTTTGGTTTTAGACCTGAAAACTCCCTAGTTGACATCTCAAATGAAAAAGGGAAATCACGGCAGTTAAGGGAATTCTTAGCACAATAACGCAAGTAATACACACTGGGTTCTGTTTTTCCTCTATCTGACTCTCTGACATCACCAACATTAGCAAGTCTGACTTGAAGTGCAGAATCACTAAATTTTAAAGCAAAAGTCCCAGAAAGCAAGACACGATCTGCAAACCCAGAACGGGAAATCCAACAAATGACAGCATCTACTGGGGCCCGAAGTGAAACCACCTCTGGGTTCTCAGTGCAGACTCCACCCTCAGCCACCATTCCAGAGCTTGTCCCGCCCCCTTCCATAAGAGGTTGGTTCCTGGAGACATGAGGTCTTGGGGAGAGGACAGCAATAGGCAAGCAGTGGGCAGGGCTTACCCTGGGGCACTGCAAGAAGGTCTGGCACAGCAACAGAGGTGGTGCCAGTGATGATAAGAACAGCAACGGGTGACAGCAGTAGCAGTGACCAGGGGAATGCCAGGTGGCTGCAGTACCAGGCTTTGGATCGGAGGTTCTCCAGTGGGGGAGTCAGCAGTTAGTAAGTGCTGTATCTCACAAGTCCCCTGCAGGGAGGGGTGGTGGGGGATGCAGAAGATAACTTGGGATATGCGATCTGTATGTATAAGGGTCCCAGCAATCACACAAGAAAGAGGCAGCCCAAGGGAGTGCTGGCTCTTCCTCTTCCCGGTGTTCCTCAATTCCAAAATGGAGAAAACAACACACATATCTCTAGGGTTGTGTCTCATTTAAGAATTTCAAGCACTTGAGGAAGATCATAATAAATGATAGCGGCTCTTACTATCATCTTCATCATCACAACTGTCAGGCACTCAGCCAAGACCCCTGGCTTTGCTGTCTGAAAGTTTTCCTAGTGCCCTTCTAGGATGGTTCTCTGGGCTGGGAGAAACGGAAGCATCTTAAGATTTACAAACACGTTTGGAACGAGAGCATGACGTGTTACGCTGTATTAGAAATCAGGCGGGCAACCCCCTTGGGTCCCCTCCCACTGTGGAAGCTTTTCTGTCCTCTCAATAAATCCTGCTTTCTAGAAAAAAAGGAAGGAAAGAATGAAAGAATGAATGAATGGATAAATAAATAATAAGTCAGGCAACAGATGAGCCATGGGCCCCTGGGGAAGTTACAATCCAGGGGCTCATTTGGCCCACCTATAAAATAGAAGAATTTGAATCACCTAAGATCCTTCTCACCTCGTATGTTATCATAGTTATTAGATTGTATATGCTTATTGGACTTAACGAATTTATCGATCAGTGTTATTGCATATTGTACAAATGTAAACCTTTTGCTCAGAGCACAAGTAGCAGAGAATATAAAAATACCCCAGGCTCTTTGGGCTTATTAACTAAATGAGGAATGTGCCAATGCCTTCATGACCCTGGACTAAGACCATATTCTTCACCTGTATCTGTTTAGTATCACGTAGTAGCTGCTTCTTCACCCTCCTTAAGTCAGAAAAACTGCACTAAGGGTCCCTGTGGAACATGCCAAATATTGTACTAATTAACTGTATGTTACCTCCATTTCAAACACGTTGAACTGTGGCCACTAATCCTAAAACCAACTTTACATTCATTCCACAGGCAAACATGGACATGCCATTACTAATAACTTGGGGCCTGGCTAAAGCAACGTTTCACACCTAAAAGAATGTGAACAGGGAGGTCCTAAGAAGGCTCCTTTCTCCCCCACCCTCTGTCTTTCTTTCTCCTCAGGTCAGCTCCTCCATACTTAAAGAGCCCTTTGAATATGGAGGTTACCTAGTATATCAACTATTATTAATACTGTAAAGGTTCAAGAGGATTTCAGCCACTGAACAGCCTTTTATGTCTCATCTGACCTGACGACTTTTCAACTAATCCTGAAGTGAGACAAAGTCCAGATTTGAGTGCCAAGAAGTGAGCAGGGGATAGAGGAGTGCTGGGGAGAGAGAAGAGGGCCCCTTGTCCTGGGGCACCGTGTTTCTAGGGAGCCCAGAGTGGCCCAGCACACAGGAGAGGCAGGAAAGATTAGCAGGAGAAAGAGCTCTAAAGACACGCCTTTCTTCTTGTCACTGTGCTAGTGTTGCTTCTGTTCAGCCTGTGATTTCTCCATTTCTGCCCTTCCCATTCTGGATACTAGAATCCAGCTAGGCATCTACTGAAAACCTACCATAGGCTGGGCGTACAACTTTAGTCTATGCAGCACACTTAGCACACACGTATTCCTTGTGTACAGCATGAGCGCTAAAACGGATCAGGCAGGCCCTGCTACTGGGAGTTAACAGCCTTCAGAGAAGCGGACTCCTCTCCATTTATGCATAACACACCCAGGACAAGCTAAACTGCAGAAAAACGAGATGCTAAGAAGGCGTAGGAGAGAGTCGGGGAGTCCCAGTCCTAAGACCTCACAGAGAAGGTGATGATTAGGTTTAGGAAGATGGGTGGTGAGACATTCTGGAGCGGAAGGTGTGGACTAGAGAGTAGAGAATAGGGCGGGAGGCAGTTGCTCCCTCCACAGCCCATGGAGGTGGGTGGAAGTCACCCCCTCTACAACACATGGGGAGAGGACTGCGAAGCAGGGTGGGGGGCAGTTAGAGAGATCACCCCCGTGGGGAGCCAAGTAAAGGCAACATTGAGTCTTTGTTTTGAAGATGTGGGAGACAAGCCTTTCTTGGGGTTCAGAGACAGGATGAAGATCACAGGAAGATGGAAGGAAGCCGCTGAGGGAGAACTTGGCCTGGCAGGCATTTGTGGTTCTTCTGAGTTCTTTTCCTGCCTGTTTCTTCTCGTTCCAACTACAACTCCATGATATCGTACAGGAGAAAACAGATGAAGTAACTTGCTCAAGACCATATGGGTAAGGCAGAGCTGGAATTCAACCCAAAGCTGTGTTTCCAAAGCCTATAATTTTTCCACAGCACCATCAATTTGAAGAGCAACAGGAGCCAGGAGACTCCTCTCTGCTCCCCGCACCTCACAGGAGTTGGAAGGAAAGCCCTGCCATGCTGTCGTGGCAGCACAGTTTAGTGCCAAGGTCATGGGCTCAAAATCCAGACTATCTGAGTGTGAATCTTGGCTCTGTGGGTTACTAGCTGTGTGACCTTGGGCAAATCACCTCCCTTCTCTGTGCTTTGGTTTCTTTACCTAAAAAATAACTATAATAAATGGTACCTACTTTAGAGTGTTACTTTGAGGATTAAATGAGTTAGCCATGTAATATGCTTGGAATAACAGTGCCTAACAGTTAGTATGTATTCAATAGATGCCAGCTATAATAATAACAAATGAACAACCAGCTTTATTGTTTTTACGGTTGTTATCCCATAAAAGATAAATTGAAATTAAAGAAAGAATGATGAGGGAGTGTTTTTAGGACATGATGAAGGCAATGCAATGTTGATACTAGAGGGCACAGCAGAACATTGAACAAGTCATCAACCTTCCTGAACCTCAGGCTCTTCTGATAAACCCACTCAACAGCACTACTCAGTAAAAAAGTATAGTGTGCTTGCCTATGATGTACCAGGCACAGTGAGAGATAACAGATACTTTACATAACTACTGTGTTCCACTTGGTCACACTCTTTTACTCTGCACTGTAGATAGATCTGGTCCTACCCTTCCCAGGCAACAGAATGAATAAGATGTGCCAGTGTCATGTCATCCCCTTACCACTCAACATAGAGTTTGGGTAGCAGGAAGATTTTTTTTTTTAGTTAGAGTCTCACTCTGTTGCCCAGACCGGAGTGCAGTGGCACGTTCATGACCATCCCGACATCAACCTGCTGGGCTCAGGCGATCCTTCTGCCTCAGCCTTCCAAGTTAGCCGGAACTACAGGTGTGTGCCACCACACCCGGCCAATTTTTTGATTTATTGTAGAGACGAGGTCTCACTAAGTTGCCCGAGCTGGTCTCAAACCCCTGGGCTCAGGCAATCCTCGCGCCTCAGCCACCCAAAGTACTAGGAATATAGGCTTGAGCCACCACACCCGGCCAGCAGTAAAGCTATTAACAGGAGCACTTTATTCCCTTGTAACTTTTACAAGGAATTCCATTTGAGAAAGACTGCTTAGAAGCTTTCCCAGAAAGTAGGACATAAAAACTCATCCTACCTGTCCTCTGAAACAAACAGTTGAAGCTACTCTTCCTTTATTCCTGTCTTTTGGATGTAAAATCAAATAGGGAGTGACTAGTCTCGCTTACTGTTTCCTGTTCCTTCTCCATTCATGCTGTATTTTTGGCTTTGTTTCCTGGTCATCCAGTGCAGCCTCGGCACCACTTGAGATTTTCTGGTTTGTTATAAAAGATCCCTAGGAAGGTGTGAATTTCGGTGTTGCTTTGATATATTTAATAAGTATTTTCACTAACAGTTTCACTGATATTTAAGCTGTTGAGCACCTGTATAAGAAAGCTTAAAAAGGAAAAAGTTTAAATACCTCACAGATTAAAGTAACTAAGAAATTTCTCTCAATTCCACTAAAATGGGAAAAATCTGAAGCTCTAAGATCATTAGACATAATATAATCTGGTATTTAGTGGTAGATAACATGTTATGATTGGTCAGTGACTCAAAAACTTGCAAAGGTATTTGAATCTTGGGGAGGATTTGTTAAAATACAGATTGTTACCTGTATCTGCTCCCCAAACCACCACCAACCACCACGTTTCTGAGTCCCTTGGTCTGGGGCAGGGCTTGAGAATTTGCATTTTCACCAAGGTCCCCGATGATACTGATGCTGCTGGTCTAGGGACCACACTATGAGAACCAAGTGTTGACAACAGCGCCTTCAATGGAAATACAATACAAGCCTCATATATAATTTTATATTATTTCGTAGCCACATTTAAAAAGCAAGGCAAAACAAAAGTAATTCTAATAATAGTTTTCCTTCACTGAATACATCCAAAATACTATCAACATGCAAACAGTATAAAATATATTCATGAGGTGGTCTGCATTTCAAATCCTTTCAAATCTGGTGTGGATTTTATGCCTACAGCACATCTCAATTTTGACTGGTCACATTTCAAAGGTTCCATATGTGACTGGTGGCTACTGCATTGGGCAACGCAGGTTTAGAGCATTCCTAGGAACCATTATATAAGGCTGACTGGGTTCCCGAGACTCACAAAGAACATGCCCACAGTATAAGACTCTGCTTTCCTAGCCACAGTTGACTCCTCCGGGGATGAGGACTTTGACTCTTGCTGCCCCAACACAGAGCATAGACTAACCCCTGGCCACAGCACAGTGGAGGGGGTCAATAAGTGACTCATGCCTAGCTGAGCAGAGACTTTTCCTCATTTTTTGCTTGCTGTTTTATTTATTTTTAAACTGGTGAGCCAAGAAGCAGCCAGGCCATCCAAGGGTTGTAGGAGGTCTGGCATACTTCATACCACATGTTGAAGGAAGCTAGGCATCACCAGGCCACCGAGAAGCAGAGGGACCAAGGCAAGAAGAGATGAGCAGCAGAGAGGGCGTCCTGGGGGATCCAGTCCCTGGCCTCAGCCTCTTTGAACTCCAGTACTGTACCCTTGTTCAGTTCTGGACATGTTATATTAGAGGTAGCTTTTAGACAACCAAGGGGCGATGTCACAAAGGCAGCTGGAGATGAAAGTTTGGTTATCATCTGCCTATAGTGTTAAAAGCCATGAGACCAGACACTGTCACCTAGAATAATTGTTCTTAATGGGGATAGTGCTGTCTCTCAGGGGGTATGTTGGAAATCTGACGGCACATTTTTAGTTACCACTAGGATTAGGGGTGCTACTGATATTTAATGGGTAGGAGGATCCATTTGGATGTCCTAAAAAACACAGGACAATCTTGCACAAAGAACTGCCACACAACCCACACAATTTTCACAGAGTCCACCAACAGTCACATAGGCAGGATACCTTTTATTATTATGAAGCCTGGAGCCTCCCTCCATTTTACATATGAAAACAATGTACTGCTCACACAGCTGCAAGATACGTGGAATTTCCTAAGAATACAACTATCATCATGAAACAAGGGGAGCCTGCACTTTGGTTCAGAAATTCACCAAGGGTGTTTGCCATTTCAAAACAATCATGTCACTCCTCCTGCAGCTTCCTTTGTCGAGTCAATAACATGACAACTCCGGATGAGTCTGCACTGCAGCTGTCACATCCACTGTGCTATAAGGAACACCTTGGGTCCTTCAGCATAGTCATGCTCAGACATTTGCAGATGGAAATGCTTACTATTCAATATTTTTATTTGAGTTAGAATAGTATATTGATTTTTCAAAACTATGCATTCAGGTAGGTGACACTGTCTATGATTTCCTCTCGGGACAGAAAAGAAGGCACCAGGTGTGGCATGGTGAGAGCCCTTGACTCAGGGAATGGATGTAGTCAGAAAAGAGATGAGTCCAAGGACTGTGCCCCGTGCCCAACTAACATTAGAGACCAAGGGGATGAGGAGAAGGAAGGAGAAAACCAGCGAAGAATGCACTCCCTGATGGAGGGTGCAATCAGCAGGGCTGATGCTGCTGGTGGGTCAAGCAAGTGGAGGATGGAGAGAATGACAACTAGATTGTCAGAGGTGTGAAGATCGTGGGTGACCTTGACCCCAATCCAGGGGATGCTGGGGATGAAACTGCCTGGAGCATCCACACAATTCATGGTAGTGGACCTTAATTGTTATGTTAAACACTTGACAGATTTCCTTTCGGGACCCCAGACGCCCCCGCCTCCACCTGCTTGCTCCATTCCTTTGGGTCCAGACATGCTGGTCTTCCTGGGACCCCCTCCTCGGGAGCCTCCTTCCCTTCCCTGAGAGGCTGCTGGTTTGCTGACTGCCCTCTTCAGTCTTCCCAACTCAGGGTACAGGGGGCACCTTGCCCTGCCTTGTACATTTCGATTCATACCCTGCTGAGTCGGGACTCAAAAGCCAACGAGGTTGAAGATTTAGAAGTCTTCATGCCAGAAGAGGCCACAGGGAGGGGCCTCGCCCGGTCTGGTCCATGGCTTCCCGCTTTGATGACTGGATTCCAGGGCTTGGCTGCACTCCGCATGTTTGACCTCGTGGGTCTGTCTTTCTGTAGAAGAGTGGAAGAGAAAAACATGTGTCTCCATAACCTGAACCTGCTGAGTGACATTATAAAGCTTTATCCCATATACCACGCTCAATACTGTTATCGAGAAGGTGTGGAAATGATTTGACTGGAAATAGAATGTTTTTTTCCTAACATGAGATTTTGCGCGAGGCTAATTTTTACAACTCCGCAACAGCTTTTACCAAATTATTGAAACATCAATAACATTATTGATGCTCTGACATTACTTTTCAGCAAAATGACAGCTTCTTCTTGGTCAGGGATCCTTAACACAGCATGACATCATATATCCATACAATATATGTCTGTATCCCATACCCCAATAAAACAGGTCAGCTGGAGTCAAGACATAAAATGTCTCTAAGCTTTGTAGCTTTAGAGTTGACAAAGGAACAACCTACCCAACTTTTAAATAGATATCCCCCAAAATTAGATTTCACAGAAGCACAAACTACTTTTTTCTTCTTTTGGATAAAAATGGATATCATTTAAACATTAATAAAACCTATTTTAATTGGTCAGATCCAATATTACAGGGCAGAGTGACTGCCCTAACTATAACATTTTATGAAAGGAAAATTGCTCAAACTATCAGGATGCAGCTAAAGACTTCAGGGAAAAATCTGCCTACAGAGATGTGGAAGGCAGCCCCAGTCTGGACATCAGGGATTCGTGCTGTCATTCCTGAGTGAGGAGCGGCCTGGCCCATCCCTCACCCTGTCTGAGCCTCTGTTTCTTCTGTCAGTAACATCACAGGACTGGATTAAATGCCCTCTCAAATTTCATCCAGCTTTAAACCTCGCTCTGCCTGTCCCTGCGGATGCTAACGGCCAAGAGTATGACACAGAGCACCAAAACCACAACGCCTTGTCCTTTCAAAGAACACCAGAAATGCACTTTAAAAATAATCATAGGTGACAACCAATTCCAGCAGTCACTCCCACAGGGTGCAGGGGTCTCAATGACTGCCGCCCCTGGGGGATGGGAGCTGGCGCTAAGCATCCTAGGATGCCTCTCCCTCACTGCATCCTAGCACAGCCCCTTAGCCACCCACAAGAAAAACCACAGGCTGCCTACCACAGCCCAGCTCAGCCTGCAACCTGCTCTGCTCTCATCTCCTTTCCTGACTGGAGAAGACCATTATATCTGACGTTGTCTCTGCAGCGGCCAGCCAGTTCCTATTCCTATTTAAACAAAATAACTGGCTGGTGGCATGTGTCCAAACATCTACTTGAACTCATTTCACCGCAGTGGCTATGTGACTGTGGCTACTGGTAAAAATATTCTTTTCAAGCCTTTGTCATTTGTTTTTCACAGTGTTTCTGAAAAAAACTATTCATGATTTCAGTTACATGATTAGTTCAGAATCTTAGGAGTCCCAGCTTGGTTCCAGATATCACAATTAAAAAAAATTCTATATTAAAAAAACTCAATTTAATTCTTGTATATTTTACTGGTGCTCAGCACCAATTAATTTTTCATTCTCAACCCACAGTTTTTATTGCTCGTTTCCACAGCAACGACGAAAGAATGCCTAGATGAAGTCCTATACAGTAACTAATTTCATAAGGACTCTCTCTCAATTTAAAATGAACTAACAGAGCCTGAGTGACTCTTGAAGAGAAATACTGATACATTTTACCAATTACTACAGAACTAACCAACAACCTGTCAGTCTGACTCAAGGAGATGACTTAAATAAAATATCTGCTTAATTAAGGCACCCATTTATGTTATGATCAGAACTACTTAGAAATGATCATTACAGGGCTTACTTTAAGAAAACATAAGATGATTTTGTAATGTGTCAACATTTTCCAAAATCTGCTCAGTTTACCTCTGAAATGAAATGCCTTTTATTTACACCCCACTCCCAGAGATAAAAACATGAAGATAAAATGCAGCAGTAAGAGGACAGAAATCTTCTTTGCCAATTTTTTCTCTGACATTTCAAGAGTCTAAGTCCTTGGTTGGAAGAAAGAAAGAAAGAGAAAGAGAGGGAGGCAGAAAGAAAGGAAGGAAGGAAGGGAGGGAGGAAGGAAGAAAGGAATTCAAGAAAGAAGAGCCATTATAGTCAAAATCAAAGACCCAGATTTCTTTCTCTTAATTTCTGGCATCAGATCTGATCTTAAGTTATCTTGAGTCAGACTGACCTGTTGCTGATTGGTTCTGTAGTATTGGTAAACTGTATCAATATTTCTCTTCAAGAGTCACTCAGGCTCTGTTAGTTCATTTTATATTGAGAGAGAGTCCTTATGAAATTATACTGTATAGGTCTTAATCTAGGCATCCTTTCATCGTTTCATGAGTACACCTGACAAATGCTCAACCAGCCTTCAAGGACTGATGAGTTGCTTACTTTGAGGCAGCGTTATCTGGGTTACTTCCCTTGTAACATCAGGCCTCTTCCTTTATTCTCCCAGCACCTACTGAATTCAACCAAATTAATCCCAAGTGAATATACCCAGAGAACTCGTTATTTTTATTATTATTTTTTTGAGTCGGGGTTTTACTCTGTCACCTAGGCTGCAATGCAGTGGTACAATGGTGGCTCACCGCAGTCTCGACCTCCTGGGCTCAAGCAATTCTGCCATCTCAGTTTCCTAAGTAGCTGGAACTACAGGTGTGCACCACCACACCCGGCTAATTTTTTTTTAAATTTTAGTTTTATAGAGATGAGGTCTCACTATGTTGCCAGGCTTGTCTCAAACTCCTGGATCAAGTGATCTCCCTGCTTTGGCCTCTCAAAATGCTGGGATGACTGGTGTGAGTCACTGAACCTGGCTTGAGAATTCTTCTTGCACAGACCCCTCTTATTTCCTACATGACCTATTCTGTGCATCCTTCACTCTTTCCTCCCATTATTCTTTTTTCCTGGACTGAGCCTTCCATTTTCTACCTACCCACCAACCAGATTCTTCCCTTCATGTCCGATCTTCCTCCAGAATTTAAAATATGCAATGCACAGTAATGAAATCATTGCTGTCCTACTGTCACCAGGAAGAGAAGCCTACAGGTAGGGAGAGTGCCCAGGGTGGGATGCCCAGGAGTGGCCACATGCCACACTCCAAGGAGCAGTGACAGGTCTGTAGGATTGTCCCAGACAAGAGGATGAGGACTGGTGTGTGAGGAAGCAGAGGTGCTCCCTACACTCTGGTCAGACTGAACAGCAGCCTTGCCCCCTGCTCCCCAGTCTCCTTGTGTAGAGCTTATTAAACATGACCCCTCCCTACTTTGGCCTTGCCCGCTGTTCACTTGCAGGAATGGCTGAAGGGGAGTAAGTGCACCCAGAGGCCCACTCCTAGCCCTCTGCCAGGCTTCCTCTGATTCCACTTCCCAGTGCTTCTTCTGCTACTCTCCTCTCGTCCCCTAGCCCTTCAGCCTGGCTCTCTGACACAGAAAGCCAGTTAATTACATAAATGCAGTCATGACAAGACAGCAGCTATACTATTTCACTCTGAGCCTGGCAAGGCACTGCTAAATGCTCCATGAGAGGGGCTCATTAAATCCTCACCTTAACCATACTCAGTGTCATCTCTTGCCATGATTTGAACATCTATATCCCTCCAGAATTTATATATTGGAACCTAATCCCCAGTATGGCAGTGTTAGGATGTGGGGCGTCTAATATGTGATTAGCCCATGAGGGCAGAACCCTCATGCATGAAATTGGTGCCCATACAAATGAGGCCCAACAAAAAGTGAACTAGTCTCCCCTTGTTGCCAAATGAGGACACATCAAGACAGTGCCATAAACCAGACAGCCAGCCCTTGCCAGATACCAAATCTGCTGGTGCCTTGATCTTAGATTTCCTAGCCTCCACAACTGTGAGCAATATATTTCTGTTCTTTGTAAGTCACCCAGTTTATGGTATTTCTCAGCAGTCAAAATGGATGAAGACATCCCCATTTTATAGATGGGGAAACTTCATTTGGCTCCAGCAACTTGCCCAAATCTCAGAGTTTATCATGGAGCCAAGATTTGAAACCAGTTTAAACTGGCTCTAAAACCTGCACACCAAAACACCAGGAACAGAAGACCTTTCTGAATAATCTTTGCTCCCTTGGGAAAGCACAAAGTTTTGAAGGTCAAATGCACCTGGTCCAAATCCAGTTCCAATGTCGACCATGTAAGCTTGGGCACTCTTTTGGAACATGATGATTCTCAACATTTTCACCCAATAAAATGGAGTTATCAATGCCGGCTTCACAAAACCATGAAGACGAAAGGCAAACAGCCATATCAAGGGCTGAGAACACAGAAGGCTCTCAACAACTGTGAGGTGCCTTCCTGACAAAAACTGTTAACTGTACTAAGTGGAGGCCCACTCTGTGTTATTAACTCAGTGACACACAGTGATGGATCAATTAAACATGTGTTCAGTGGCAAGAGGCAGACAGACATGCCAGATTTGAGGAAAGTCCCTTCTTGTACACAGAACAGCAGCACATTTCATCTGGAAATGTCCAGGAAGCAAAGAAGAGAGGGAAAACACACATAGAGCAGATACATTATAAGTCATTATATCCCAGCCTTAACAAATCCAGGCCGCCGAAATAGGTAAGCACGGGTGGGAATGCTGGTTAAATAATAGTTTTCTTATGGATGTAAATTAGTTATATAAAATAAGCAGACAGACTCTGGCCAAATACAGGACAGTGATAAAAGAAGGTTTATTTTATTCATTCCCTGTTTTCTTAAAAATCCTCATAAACATCACAAAGGATCAAATGGGTCAAGGAATTACAGTTAAATCTGGGAACTCACTTCCATAGGGGTGGGGAGATCTTTCCAAAGGTGTTTCCTTTAAATTTTTCAGACATTTTATTTTCTTACCAAACTTTCTCCCTCTCCAGAATAGTGTAAGTCTTACCTTTGGACTGGAATTCACAAATTTACAACATAAAGAAGAAAAGACAAGAGGGATGGAGGAACAGCGGTTGTATTTTAGGAATACAATTAAGTGCTTGGACACCAGGGA